ACATTATCGAAATATCTATTATTTGAATATTCTTTTTTTTCAACTTCCGATTATCTGAATAACATATTCCTAATTAGAACTTACATGTATACTTAGTTAAGCAGTTCTAATTCGAAAAAAATTGTAATTTGCATTAGTTGTATAGTTTCAAGATGAAAATGAGAACATTAGTTTAATATTATTGCTATTATTATTTGAATAATTTTTAATATCAGAAAAATATAAATATTTCAGTGAATTTTCAAATGAANATTTTTAATATCAGAGAAATATAAATGTTTCAGTGAATTTTCAAATCGATATTGAACATTTCGAAAAAGATATAAAACGAATATTGAAATTCTCATAGATTGTTTCAAATGAGTATCGATATCTTTGTAAGGTATCTAAACAGGTATCGACGCTTGCTGAGGTATCAAACAGGTATCTATACTTTTGATACCTACATCTTTGATGCTATTCACTTTGGTATCAGAATTTGCGAACTGGTATCACTAATTTTAATATATATTAATTTATATATAATATATATTATAATATATATTAATTATTCTTATATTAAATATATTATATTATATTATATTAATAATATAATATATTTAATATATATTAATTTATATTATAATCACTAATTTTTGGTATCTAATACCTAGAATTATTTTGAATTAAATATTTCTAATATATGCACATAGTTACCACTGTACATACTTATGTGGCGGCTAAGAAGAGTATGCACTTGTGTGTCGGTATGGAAGAGTGTGGAGGAAAAGAAAAGGAAGCGTTTCGTCCTGGTCCCGTTAGAGGACTCATCGGTAAGGCTATTGTGGCAGATATAGATTATTGATGTTTTCTATTTTATCGACAATTTTTAAATATCGATTAAGTTTACAAATTATGTATTTGGAGTTTAATATTTTCTTGCATACTGGAGAAACTTTGGTTGAGTGTTTTTCCAAATTCATTTCAATCTTATGGTGGTTTAGATCTCGCGATAGCTTTAATAGTTTTAGAAGTTTGTTAAGTTTATACATAGCGTCAGCTTCATTTCTATTTGTTATATCAATTTCGCATATACATAGTACGACAAATAAGTTTCGAGGTGCGACCCGGTACATTATCGTGCAACAGACACCAGGTCTGTTGTGAAATTGAAATTCAATTCATAATTTAATTTAATTTAATTTAACCTACCAAGTATGATACAACTACACGAGTATAATAAACATATATTTTTAAATGAAAAAGGTCATTTTTATTTTTATATAATTAAACGGCACATGTTATTTTGTTGATAATTTATAAACCAGACAATCATTCCGATAGGATGAAGTTTCACTGGTTTCCTAAAATTTTAAGTTAATATTAATATGAAAAGTACATTTATATTTTTAATAAAAATCAATATAATTTTATCGTGTTTGATCTCATTTCAATCAAAAAAAGCTCACGATTGCATTGGAAAAATTCGCATTAAAATATAATAAAAAACAAAAAAATTACACATTGCGTTATTATTTATTCTTCATTTGCCTGCCACCATGCTCGCACGTCTAATGTGAATACTCTCAATCGAGCACGCTGCAAGCACGACCTGAACTTGGCATGTAAATGTGCATCGACCCTTAAAAACCGTGGAGAGACATACAACAGCCGTGATTGTTAACTACTTTAATTCGTTTGTATAAGTATGATTGTGAAGTTATGAATTTTATGTTAACATATGGTCGAAAGAAATGATTGACGAAGTGTAGGGGAAATTCGAAAGAAATACACAATTTTACAAGTAGTTAAAAGTAAAGAATGTTATTAATTCTGAAATCTGTCGTCGAAGACGAACGTACATATATATTGAAAATATTTAAGTAATTCTGGATAAGTGTTACGTTGTTCACACAGGAATGCGGATCCATTAATCGTTCAGCTATTTACTGAAAGCAAACGGTAGATCGGAACTCGTTAATATGCGAATAATTTTATTATGTAGCTGCACAAAAATGTTCAAAAAATTACGTACTGGCAAATGCACACATTATTGCTATTGCATGAACCCGACCATATTGCTTTGCAATGAGCACTGCAACAAGTATCTCCACAAACTTGACAAGATAAATATGGCTGAACGACCGGTACATTATCGACATCTTCGACTTTATCAACAAGATCGTGTTCTTCTTGACCTGAAAATATTTTTAAGCGTTAGCGTAGGTATAATTTCTACTGACATCGTCGTGCCAAATGTCGTTTGAAACGAATAAGGTATTTCTACGATACTGATTTTTCAGCACTTAATTAATACGAATTGGCCAAATATTGGGTCGAGCAATAGATTCGTTCCGTATAGATATAATTTAATATTGATAAACGGTTACAAAAGGTATGACATTAGTACAGACTTCTTTGCATCGTATATGTATACAGGGTATCCCAATATTATGTTATTTCTGATAAATTGGAGATTCCTGGGCTAATTTGAAGTAATTCTTTCCTTTACAAAAATTTTCTCCGAAGCATCGTTAAAGAGTTATTAACGAAAAACACTGACCAATGAGAGGCGAGTTCGGGTGGCGCGTAGCGGCTGTGTCAGAAACCCATCATTTGCGCGAAGTACCACAATTTT